TTTTTTTTTTTTTTTTTTTTTGGTAATCAATTCCTAGTCTAATACTAGAAACTCTCAATAAATACCTATAGTTTCTAATGGTAGATTTTTACCTTTAAAAATCATAATCGTCATAAAAGATATGGGGTACTTTTTAAACTTATTTGGTTTGTAAGTTCCATAAAAATGGAAAGCTGTTAAAATATGGGTAACATTTCCATCAAATTTAATACTAGCATATATATTTAATTTTATGTGAATATATATATATTCACATAAAATATATATATAATATAAATATCTCTCTCTATATATAATAAATATATATATATTCACATAAATATATATATATAGAGAGAGAGAGAGAGAATTATAATTAAAATTGTAATTCTAATTGTATAAGGTTGTGGGTCTATGTTGATACTCTATGGGTCAGTTTTCAAAGGCAAATGTTATAGTGCATTCTAGGACACCTGTGTCCACAAGATCAGTTCTTTGAAACTATATTTGGAACAAGCTATTAAAAGCTCTTGTACTCAGTGACCTTTAGGCAGAATTTAGATTGAATGCTCACATTGCTGCTGCCTGTTGCTGAGTGGAAAAACAAGCAGAAAACCCTGGATTCAAACATCTTTTGGGTTTTGTTTTGCTTTATTTTGTTTCTTTTCATTTTGCCTTAAGAAGATGAACAATGAAACCACAACCTTGGTATCCTTGAAGGAGGCAATGAAAAGGTTGCTAAGGGGTCCCTGGGGGCAATAAGCATGTGTCTGAAATTCTGGGAAGATGGGGAAGCAAAGAATAAAGAGTAGAAATAAGAAAAGAACTACAGACATGCTAATTAGAATTTTCTGTTAAAATGGTTTAAGTCTTCCAAGTTCAAAAAAAAGCATGTAGATTAAACTGTGTGCAGTGGCACATGCCTGTAATCCCAGCAGTTTTGGAGGCTGAGGCAGGAAAGATTGTGAGTTAAAAACCAGCCTCAGCAAAAAGCGAGGTGCTAAGCAACTCAGTGAGACCCTGTCTCTAAATAATATATTTTTTTAAAAGGCTGGGGATGTGACTCAGTAGTCAAATGCCCCAGAGTTCAATCCAGGTACCAACTCCCAAAATGTAAAAATCTGCTGTAATGCCATTCAATTCATATATATACTAAATGCTAAATTTACAATAATCCAAACTGAGAGACTTGAGCATGTCTCTTGTTTCCTTGTTGGTCAGCCTTCAATAAAATCTTTTTGCTTTTGTTTAAAAAAAAAAAGTGTAAAATGTGGTTTCTGCCCTCAAGGAGCATACAGCACAGCTAATGGTGGTTTCTAGAGTTAATGGAACACAAGGGCAGAAAGCTCAATTTTGCCTTGGACATTAGGAAAAGGACTCTTTCTATAGAAACATTTGAGCAATGAGAGTGAAGTTTATGAGAAATGAAAATGTGGGAAGGAATCTAGACTGAGGAAACAGTACAGGAAAGCCATATGTAAGTTTGGAATTACATATTAGTGACTAAAATGTGTAAGAGGACAGGCAGAAGATGAAGGAAAGGGAATGGGCTTCATGTTTCCTGCTGAGGAGATGCCATTTGGGATCGAAAGTTATTGGGCAAATCAGGGTGGCATAAAAGGTATATCATCTGTTGGGTTACATAATCAGACTGTATTTTTTAATATATACTTTTCTTTAGTTGTAGATGAACACAATGACTTTATTTACTTATTTTTATGTGATGCTGAGGATTGAACCCAGAGCCTCACACATGCTAGGCAAGTGCTCTACTACTGAGCCACAACTCCAGCCCAATTAGATTGTATTTTAAAAACTATGTCTGGAGGATGGATTGGACATGGAAGCAAGTTTCTTGGTTACAGAGGATGAGCTGGCTTAGCTCTTGGGATGCAGAGGAGAGGATAGATTAAAGAGACATTAATTGGAGGATGAGAGAAAACAGGGTTGAGAATTATTCTAGATTTTTAGTTCAAGTAATTGGATAAATTGGTAAGGTCATTAACAGAGCTAGGGAATTGTAGTGTAAAAGCAGATTGCACTCAGGTTTGCATGTTGTTTAATAATTATTTAGAATGGTCCAGGAATGCCTTTTTGGCGGGAGGATTAAAAAAATGTTGCAATTATAAACTTATATACAGATTGACAAGCTAGAATTTATTCCTAGAGTTTAAGCTAGAGATGAGCTATATAGCAATATAGTCTCAAATATCTAAAAGTTAATACAAACAGTGTGCCAGGTGACATGGTTTTTTACTTGTAGACAGAGACTGTTGCCCTATTAGATTATGCAGGTTTGTATACCTATGAAATGCACATTTCATATTCCATCTTATCTGTGTTAATAGAATCTGAAGCAGTGAGAAAATCCCTCCATAATAATTTCTGAAGATGGAAGGGGTGTTAGTAGATTCAGCTCAGGACCGTTGAGTTTGACATTTCCAGGTAGAAATGTGCAAAACAGATGAAAATACAGATCTAGAGCCTAGGAGCAAGGTGGTACCTGAAGCTGAATTAGCCTTTGGAGAAGCTAAGGATCAAAAGAAGATCATCAAGGATAGAGCAACCACAAAGGTATTCAGGTCACTGGGGAAATGACTTGTATTCTTATGCGTCATTTATTTCATGAAAGATAAGTGGGTGGCTTCAGGAAAGTGAGTTTTGTTTCTCCAATTTTTTTTTTGTGTGTGTGTGTGTGTGTGTGTGTGTGGTTCAGTTAGATATAATTCTGCTGCCATAGTGCCCTCTGGTGATCAGGGCTATTCAAAGCTACTCAGATCCCTATGTTGGGTTACAAGGGTCAGCCTCTCCTTCACATCACAAATGTCAATCATGTAACATACAAATATTTTATTACTTCTAGGTAAGACCTCTTTTAGGTATTGGAGGACAGGCATAAAGATATCTAAGAAATGGTCTCTGATTTTCTTCCTCTAAGAACTTAGTTTATAAAAAGCTAACTCTAAAAATGAAGTAGGGGTAAAGAGGGATAGGTAATGGAGATCATTCCTATAAGAGAGAAGCAGGAGGTAAGAAGATCTCCAGGTCCAAAGGAAATCAAGAAGGTGGTGGAGGGGCTGGGGTTGTGGCTCAAAGGTAGAGTGCTTGCCCAGCAAGATGTAAAGCACTGGGTTTGATCTCAGCACCACATATAAATAAGTTAATAAAATAAAGGTCCATCAACAACCAACAAAAATATTTTTAAAAATAATCAAAAACAAGAAGGTGGTGAAATTTGAACCTTGAAGGACAGAAGGATTTGTACAGTCATGATAGGGTAGAGAAAGCCATATAATTATACAGTGGTCCCAGTATTAGCTAGTTACATGACATTAAATCTCAATCTTTTTAAGACTCAATTTCTTTATCTATAAAATAGTAAAAATGACTGTTTTAATTCTTATGGTTGTGAGAATTGAAGTCATGCTTGTATAAAATACTCAAAGTATAAAATATAAAGATCAGACATGACAGATAATTCAAGTAATTAGATAATTAAAAAGTGTGAAGTAAGGAAAGAACAAATATGAATGCTAGAGGAAATGGCAAATGGAAACATCTGTTCATGATTTTATTTATTTATTTAACATTTTTTATTGCTACATTATAATTATACATATAGTAGGCTTCCTTTTATACATTCATACATGTACATAAAATAATTTGATCAATTTAATTTCCCAGTACCATGTGTTCATAATTTTAAATTTAAATATTTACCCAGGGGTTGGAGGTATAGCTCTGTGGTAGATATCTCCTTGCCTAGTTCACACAAGGCTCTGGGTTTGATACATAGCAACACACACACATGCACACACACACCAAATTTCATGGTGGTTGTACATAATGCATTAGAACCTTAGGTTAAAGAAATGCCTTAGTTTTTTCCCCTGACCTAAACTAACTTTGATTCTTTTATCCTATAGAGTAGACCACAAACTCCAAGCTTTAGAAGCACAGTTCAAAGAACTGGACAATACCAAAGATAATCTGACACAGAAATTTGAACATCATAGCAAGACTTTGGCAAGCCAAGCAGCTCAAGATGAAATGTGGACAGCAGTTTTGGCACTGAAGTGAGTATTGATAGAAAAATCAGAGGAATTTTATGGTAAAAGCTTTTAGTTGTTATTTCAGAACTGAATTTAGTATGGTCCCAACTATGGATTATGAAGAAATTACATTTTCTTGTGTTTATTCATTGAAAAAAATCAATTTTAGCCCCTGTATTATATGCTAGGCCCTGTGGTACACATGTCGTCACAGTGCCTGTTACTTGCCAAAGTCTCACTAGCACAGAGATGGATAATAAAACTCCCTTGTCACTGAAGAACATACAGTAGGGTCGCCTGAGAACATAGCTATCTAGGTTAGTGCAGGGTCTAGTTCTAAAGTAAGTATTTTCTAAAATACAATAACTTCTACTGGATTTGTAATGATCAAATGCATTTTTATGTCTGTTAATAGTGTTCTGTTGCATAAGAAGTTCCCCATGTTTTTTCATAGGTTCACTTCAATTGAATTGAATATTTTATACAGCTACGTCATTGAAGTACTTATCAGCTTGCACACACGTGTACTTGAGAAACTACCAGACCTGGTAAGAGGTCTTCCCACCTTAGCCTCTGTCCTTAGACGAAAAGTTAAGAACAAGTGCATTAGAGTTGTGTGGGAGTCTGTTCTGGAAGAATGTGGGCTGCAAGAAGGAGATATCACAGCAGTTTGTACTTTCTTTATTGCACATGGTCACAAGGCAGATCATTATGCAGCTAAAGTACGACAGATGTACATCAGGGATATCACATTCATGATCACTAACATGGTAAAGAACCAGGCTCTGCAGGATGGTTTGCTGAGGGCTGTTCAGGTCATTGAGAAAGGAAAAGCAGAGAGGATTCCTGAAGAGCAAAAGTCACCCCTAAAAGAATTGATATCATCAGTCAAAAACTAACCTTCTGCCCCACGATCCTGATGTCATTTGTAGTAATTTATCTTGAAAATAGTAAAATGTATGTGTAATTTATTTACTGCAGATTTATTGTTATGGCAAAAAGTAAAAGCAGTATTAAAGAATTTGTAAGTGATACAATGAATATTTTCTATTTTGCTCTATAAAAGAATGAAGAAACTATTTGTTTAATGATAGAGAGTTATCACTATAATGTATTGTTGTTGTTAATTATATATTTATTGTTAAGTGGAAAAATATTATATAACATATAATATTGGCTTAGCTATAAAATTCTGCAGAGATTCATAAAATTCTGCAGAGATACATAAGAAATTATATTAGTTGTTGCAGGAAAGAAATTAAGACCTTAGAGGTCAAAAATATGAGGAAGTCATTTCACTGTTAATCCCTTTTGGACATTTTAAATTTTGAATTATTTGAATGTACTACTTATTAAAAGATGAATAAAAATAAAACACCTAAAATCTATATCATGAGATGCTGGCATATATGTGTTCTCTAGTATAGTATCATAGTTATTTATACTAAAAAGAGAATTAACTGATCATTTATTTATAATGGTTATTGAATACCAAATGCCATGTGCTAGGTGTTGTAATAGAAATATTTAAAAATGTGGACCCTGTTTACAAGGTGAGGATTAAGTACTGACACTTTATTTGGAAGCTACAAATTCAGGTGGTCAGAGTGAGGAGGCATGCTGAAAGAAAGTAGGGTAGAAAAGGATATGAAGTAATATACCTTGAAGATGAGCCATGAGAGACATAGCAGGTTGTTCAACAGGTACATCTATCGCTCTGTCTTTCTGTACCCACATACTGTTTGGGAAAATCAGGCCTTGGAAGGAAGAAGGAAAGCAAATTTGTCTGTTGTACTCACTGAGTCTAAACTGTTTTCAATTGCCCAAAGTTCCTCCATGGGGAGTTATATCCTTCACTTCAATATGCATTATCCATGCCCTCCTAGCAGCTATTAGAAGCCAACTCTACAAAACAAATAAAATAAAAAAATTTTTAAAAAAGAAGCCAACTCTTCATTGTTCAGAAGTCACAGGAGGAAGATGGGCATGAAGATGCATGCTTGTAATTCCAGTAACCCAGAAGTTGAGGCCAGCCTCAGCAATTTAGCAAGACCCTAAGCAATTTATGGAGAACTTGTTTCAAAATAAAAAATAAAAAGGCTGGGGATGTGGCTCTATGTCATACAAAAATATGTCTCAACTATGTGCTGGGAGTAAAACATGGAGCAAGCGAGTGGTGAGTGTTTGCCTCACATACGTGAGACATTGGGTTTGATCCTCAACACCACATAATAATAAATAAATAAAATAAAGGTATTGTGACCATCTACAACTAAAAAACATATTTTAAAAAACCCAGAACATGGAGCAAGTAAGGACTGACACAACTGGACAAAGTTAGACCTCGCCTTTTATTAACAGGCATCTAAAGCAACTGACTGGAATGAAGCTTCAGTATAAAGAAGGCAAATATATAGCATGCATGCATGCTGATGACTCCCTTCACCACCCACAATAGACATCACTAATCCATTATATAGTATGCTGTCTTGCTCAGCCAGATATTCCTTGGAATTGTACTTTACACATATTCCAGGCATCCACTGCCAACTGGTCAGTTGGCACATGGGATGAACCTACTGCCTTGGAATATACGCCCAAGTCTGTTTCCTATCTCTCTTTTCACAGTAAAATGCTTCAGGAATTCTTCGTATGTGACTCTCTCTTTATAACAGCAAATAACATTACTAGTAACAGTTAACACATGAGCTTCCTATATATAAAATCACTTAGTCCTATGCTATTATTGGACCACAAGTTCCCAAAGTTCTGTACCAAGAACCCACAACTCCTTGTTTAGGCTCCACCTGGAAAACATTCCTTTTTTTTTTTTACCTTTATTTATATTTTTTAAATTTTAGTTGTAGATGGACACAATACCTTTATTTAATTTATTTATATGTGGTGCTGAGGCTCTAACCCAGTGCCTTACACATGCTAGGCAAGTACTCTGCCACTTGGCTATAACCCCAGCCCTAACCTTTATTTATTTATTCTTATGTGGTTTTGAGGATCGAGCCCAGGGCCTCACGCACACTAGGCGAGCATTCTACCGCTGAGCCACAACCCCAGGCCGTGGAAACCATTCCTTTACCCAACCTGAATGCCCTCAGCAAATCCAAATGGACTTAAAGACTGTTTCATGCACAGTGATTTCCTTTTCTCTTCCTATGACCTTGTTTATACACTCTTATTTATTATTTGCTTAACAAAACCAAACCTCAGGTCTGGCTTTTAAGTACTCTGGGGGAGGGAGATCACATTCTTTATGAATTTCCCATCATTTTCCTAGCCAAATTCTGTTTCATTTTTTTTTTTTCATTGAAACCAATTCTGTAGAATCAGTTGTGGTTCAAAAAGTTAATGGCCTGGGTATGTAGTTCTGTGACAGAGTGCATGCTTAGCACGTGCAAGACCCTGGGTTTAATCCCTAATGCCACTGTCACCACACACACACACAAAAAAAAAAAAAAAAAAAAAAAAAAAAAAAAACAACAACAACAAAAACAAAAAAAACCCCACAAAGTTAATGCTGAAATGTAAAATAATATTTTTTTTTTTTTAAAGAGAGAGTAAGAGAGGAGAGAGAGAGAATTTTTAATATTTATTTTTTAGTTCTCGGCGGACACAACATCTTTGTTTGTATGTGGTGCTGAGGATCGAACCCGGGCTGCACGCATGCCAAGCGAGCGCGCTACCGCTTGAGCCACATCCCCAGCCCCTAAAATTATATTCTTGTTAACCTCTTTTCTAGAGCTTTGCTCTATATGAAAACCAAACAATAAAGTGGTGTACACTTTTTTTTTTCTTTTTGGTATTGAGAATTGAACCCACAGAGCATTTTACCACTGAGCTATATCTCTAGCCCTTTTTATTTTTTTGAGACAGGGTCTTGCTAAATTGCTTAGGGCCTCATTAAATTGCTAAGGTTAGCCTTGAATTTGTAATCCTCCTGCCTCAGCTTCCCAAGTCTATGGGATTACAGGAGTGGTGAAGGTGTTCCTGCACCTGCTGTCTGACAGGGTAACAGCATGGGGGATGCTTCGGCAAGGCAAGGCCAGGCCACACCATCTGGAATCTGGAACCATTAGGAATGTTAAGTGTTTTGTTGATGATACTCATGATATGGATAATAGGGCATACTCAATCAATAATAAAAGTACGTATTGCCTGAGATTGCAGGAAAATTCCCAGAATGAGACTAAGGATACAATTGAGACATGCCATGAGGCACATTTCAGTGTCTCTCAGGATACAAACAATGGTGTTATTCCTCAAGCTTAAACAACAAGAAATATTTATTCCATGGATAACAATTCCATATTATTTATTTATAACAATTCCAAATATTTATTCCATGGATAACTAGTCCCCCCAACCCCATCCTGAAGCCACAAACTGTACAACAGCCTAGCTACAGAAAAACAATTGCTGTACCAACAGTACAAGGACCACCATATGTAGCTTATGGTATCCCCCCAAGGACAAGAGGCTAATAAAAATACATTCCCCAACCAATAGACCCTCCTTTGCCTTACACAGAAACTTATGATGAAAATGGAAAACACATAGTTAATATAAATGACAAATGGGTTGAGGTGCAGAGCCTGCCCTTTAGTTAAAAGATTACAAAGACCTAAGAATTGATGTGCTTTGAATAAGGATCAAGGAAGTTCTTTAAGAAAGCAGTTGAATAAGTCATTTGAAAAAAGGAAATTACCTTGGAAATTAAAATAGAATAATGTAAAATTAACAGATATATTTTAGAGACACTTCAGAGTAGTATGCTTTTAAATAATAGAATTTCACTACTTTAAGTGTGTTTTACTGGGATTTTAGTTTAGAAGTAAGAAAGCTTACCAATAATCATAAGTATGCTTTAAAGTTAAAGGTTAATGAAATAATTATAGGTATGCTTTAAAGTTAGAAGTGAACAATAGGTCAGGAGTCATGTAGTCTAGTTGCATTATCTAGCACCTAGTGATTGAGGTGAAAACATAAAACCTTAATCATGATTGGTTTAGGTTACAGAACAATATTTTGAACAATGTACTCAATATCTTAGGTAATCAATGTGTTATGCTCAAATTCGGGACCCCCAAAAGACTACCAGAGACCAAGATCGATGTAAACAGCAAAGAGGTGTTTATTTCGGTCCTCCGTGCGCGCACACACAGCAACTGGTGACGCTGAGAGGCCCCAAGCCCAGGGTTTCCAGCAGTTTTGTACATTCTTTGGAGAAGGCAGGGACCCCCACATACATCATAGCATCTCTTAGCAAATCATCACTCACCACGGGAAAATCAAACAACAACTCTAAAACATGATTAGCACATTCACTGGCGGGAACAAGTTGGGTAGGGGTGATTGGTTAGTACAAGAGGGGTATTCATTTGAACTGATTGGTTTAAGCCAAGAGGGGTGTTCGTGCTGAACTACATGGTTTCCCAACACCATAAACTGGCATCCCAGGTATTTCCCTGTCTCATGCTGATTGGTGGCTGCTAGGGGATTGCTATGGATTCCCACCTAGCCCGAGTCAAGGACCCCTGGCCCAGCAGATCTCTCCTGTTATTTGTAGATAAACAACCTAGCAGGGTGGGAATGTGCCTAGGAGTGCTCTGTGGGTCTTTCCAAGGACAAAGGCCATGTTCCTTCCTTGGACAGGCTTTGCTCTGAGATTCAGGCTGGTTTTTCAAAGCTTGCAGTCCTCAAGGTTTTAGAAAGGAAGGCAATCCTAAAACAATCTATCTCTAGGCAGCGGACTTAAAGGGGCTGGTCTATAGAAGGAAGTATAAGTGCCTGTCAAGTTGTCTCAGGTCTACAGTTACTTTGACCATAAACTTCTCGGATAAGTGAACCTCTGGTAACAACTTTCTTAGGGATGCTTTCCTAATGTTTAATAAATAGAAGGCCGTTGGACTGAGTTCTTATACTATGCCTAACAGACCAAACCGAAATGGATTTACTCATGCCAAATTTCCAGGCCACGTAATCAAAACTAACCTTCCAAAATAAATCAGGTGAGATGAGACTGTGAATGTAGCTTAGTGGTAGAGTATTGGTCTAGCATGTACAAGGCCCAGGGTTTATCACCAAAACTGAAAGAGAGAGAGAGAGAGAGAAAAATGATAGCCAAATCCCCAAATAGGCCAGTTTTATCCAGTAAGATAAGGAAATCCTGTTTCAACTTTACAAGGAAAGAAATTTTGAAACCAACCATCAGTCTTTTTTTGTTGTTTCTACTTTCTTCATCCCTTTTCTGCCTATAAAGCCAATCTTTGCCCAGCTCATGGGAACCCAATAATAAAACCGAAAATAAAAGGTAATTTAAGAGCCAATATGGTGGCACAGGCCTGGAATCCCAGCCTTCAGGTGGGCTGAAACAAAGCCAGCCTCAGAAAGGGTGAGGCGCTAAACAACTGAGAACCTGTTTCTAAATAAAACAAAATAGGCTGGGATGTGCTTCAGTGGTCAAGTGCCGGAGTTCAATCCCTGGTATGGGGATGGTGATTGGGGGAGAGGAAAGAAAGTCAACGAAGATCTCTAAGCTGAATTTGTCGAAATTTTCTTTTGACACTAAGACCTTAATAGAAAAAGGCAACTTGAAGATTACTGAGGGAAAAATTAGAAAAATTATTGTTCCAGTCTTAGAGGTTTCCTTTTTCTACCTGTAATCTCAGTGATTTGGCAGGCTGAAGCAAGAGGATCAAGTTGCCAGCATTAGCAACTTAGGGAGACCCTAAGCAACTCGGCCAGACTCTTTTGTCTTCAAATAAAACATAAAAAAAGGGCTGAGGGGAGTGATGTGGCTTAGTAGGTAAGCCTTCGTGGGTTCAATCCCTGGTACCAAAAAAAACGGTTTCTGCAGCCTCTGAAGCCACCTTTCAAGGAAAGGCAGGAAATACCCAACTAGACCCCAGGAGCTGAGATCGCGGGAAGAGACGGGGGCGGAACCGCCTGGGCGGTGTCCGCAGGTCCCGGAAGTCCCGCCCAGCCGAACGTTAGAGGCTCTGCCCTAGGTCGGTTGTCGGAATAGAAAGGGCGTTTTGGCGGGCAGTTGTGACGTCACTAGCTCTTGTCTGGTTGTTCCGGAGCTCTGCAGCGAATAGGGTTTGTGGCTGACAGAAGAGCTGTGAGGGGCGTGTCAGCCCGTGGGCAATAGGACACTGCGCTAGGCCGCCTAAAGCTGGATCGCGGTTGCTCGCGGGCAGCACCCGCAGCAACGGTAAAACGGAAGTCCTGCGATCGGAGCCCGGCGTCCGGGCGGAAGCGGCATTCTCTCAGCGGTGGCCCGGAGTCAGCCCCGGAGCCAGCCCCGGAGCCACCGGGAGCCTCCTGACCTGGTAAGGGGGAGGAGGGGCACTTGGCGCGGACTCTCCGCTGCGTCGGAGCCCTGCGTCGGAGCCCCGTGTCTAGCCTGCCGCAGCGGTGTTGCTCCTCCCTAGGAGCCTTGCTCTTCCTACTAAAACCTTTATTTGTTTTCTTGGACGTTTTGTCTTAAGAAGAGTCACCGCCTTGCAAGGTCTTATTGGTGGTTACCTGACCTGTACAGCGTTTCTTTGCTTCAAGCCCTGTTTGAAGCTCGTACTGTCGAATGGTGGTTCGCTGCAGGACATAGTATTAAACACATTACTGTTTATTTGCTTTCTCTGTCGTTCGCTGAAAAGACGATTCTTTTTCTTTCAGGTGTTGATGTTGAGTAGGCATCATTAGCATATTAAAATGGCTCTACCCAAGGACGCCATCCCTTCCTTGTCGGAATGCCAGTGCCAGATCTGTGTGGAAATCCTAATCGAGCCCGTAACCCTCCCATGTAACCACACGCTCTGTAATCCGTGCTTCCAGTCGACTGTCGAAAAGGCAAATTTGTGCTGTCCCTTCTGTCGCCGCCGGGTCTCTTCGTGGACTCGGTATCATACCCGTAAAAATTCTCTCATCAATATGGAACTATGGGAAACGATTCAAAAACACTATCCAAAGGAGTGCAAGCTTAGAATCTCTGGGCAAGGATCAGAGGAAATTGGTGAGTGAAAAACCGAGCATGTTAATTGGCTAATCCAAAATCTTTTAAAAACTGAGTCATGCCGGGGCGGGGTGGCGGACGCCTGAGTCCCAGCGGCTCGGAAGGCTGAGGCAGGAGGATGGTGAGTTCAAATCCAGCCTCAGCAAAAGTGAGGTTTAAGCAACACAGTGAGACCCTGTCTTTAAATAAAATACAAAATAGGG